AGGAAGTCAGCTGTGTGTTCCCTAAGGGTAGATTCTAACAGATTCTGTTGGCATCTCATCCATTTGCCCTCACCCCTACAACCTCAGTGCATACCAGCAGACTTCTAACTACTAATACTTGCATTCCTGCAAAGCTTGAGGGCTTTCCCTGGCCACAAATCCACACTGTCCACCTTGCCACAGAGTAGTAATGCCTTCCAACAGGGGCGGTCAATCAGTGACTAACAGGATTTGGTAAATAAATACCTCAGGTCCCTGCCACTAGGGTCATCTCTGAGCCATCTACACTGGCTCCAAGTGATTCTCCCAAAGTACTCAGTGTCAGTTACCCATAGTGGTAACTGACTTAATAAGCATCCTTTAGTGACTTCCTGCTCTTCCTTATCTCACCTTCCCAGTCCTCTACCCCCAGAAAAACTGCTTGCACCTGAATCTTTGTTCCATAGGGCTTCTTGGGAAATCCAACCTAATAAGCAAATTTGCTAAGATCCTGAGGCACCTTTATGTTCTGGATATTCTGGATTATTTTTGGAAGTTATATATAAAAATAATGGGAGGAGTGTTGAGGAAGGAGGGAATGGGATCCTAAAAGATTGCTGTGGGTTGACTATGAAGAAAATTGCCCAACTTTCCTCAGATAGGGCTTGGAATGGCTTCAGAATTATTTCTTGTAGGCATGCATTTCCTGCTGGCTATATTTGAAACCATTGTAATATTATACACACACACACACACACACACACACACACACACACACGTACACACACTATATATAATAACACCATATATATGTGTGTGTATATATATATATGTATATATATATATATCTCCCCTTTTAATGATATAATCTGTAGGCAAGAATTTTTGCATATCAATGTTCAAGGAAGTATTTTTTTTATAATAGCAAGATATTGAAAACAACCTAATTGAGGATCCAGTTAAATAATTATGACGTAATATGGTGTATCTACTAAATGGAATATTATGCATGCCCTTAAATGCGTATCTTAAAACATGAAACACTAATCATATAGACCTGCATGTTAAAGACAGTTTTCTTTATCCACTGCTAGGAGTGAGGGCCTTCCTGCTTACAGTTCCTGTAGCCCCTCCACAGTGATAATGTCTGAGAAGAAGGCCCAGAAGAAGATGGAATTGGAAGGAGAACAGATATACAGTCTGGCCAAGTGGATAAAATTAATGTAAATAGCACAAATTGAGGGAATGGAAAGAAAAGGAACTGCATTTGCTGAGCTCTGCTTGCCACTCCACTTCCTTGGGCTGTGCGTGCACCCCTGCCACCAACAGAGGAGTGATAACATGTCTACTAGGTATTCTGGGCCTGTTACATGCCACACACACCTTAACTGTTTAAGAAACATCATTTATCAATTTATAATATTTACAACAATCTTCTGGGAAAATCACTATCTCCATTTTTTTCAAATATGGAAAATAAAGATTAAGATGGTATAAGCAACTAGCCTTGATCATTCAGCCATTACACAGAATTAAAACCCTAGTGTTTCTGTGGCTTAGAAAATGAGGGCTAAGGATGGAGAAATTGCATTTCTTATGTGACAGAGAAGTGATTGCCGAGCTCCAAAATAAAAGTAGGGAAATGTGTAAATGCAGGAACTCAGAAAGAAAGTCCTTCTAAGGGACTCCAAGGGTGGAAGTGAGGGCTGATTTGGCAGTACTAAAAAGTGTTATCCATGAGATCCAACCTAATCCAAATATTCTAACAGCTAGGGTAACCGAGGCAGAAGATCAAATTAGTGATCTAGAAGACAAACTGATAGAAAACAAGGATCAGGAGGAGGCCTGGAACAAACAGCTTAGAAGCCATGAAAACAGAATTAGGGAAATAAATGAAGCCATGAAACGTTCCAACATCAGAACTATTGGGATCCCTGAGGGGGCGGAGAAAGAAAGAAGACTAGAAGATACAGTTGAACAAATGCTCAATGAAAATTTCCATAATCTAGGGAATGGAACAGGTGTTCGTGTCCTAGAGGCAGAAAGGATACCCCCCAAGATCAACGAGTCTAGAAAGACCTCCAGACACTTAATTGTGAAATTCATGGTTTGCAATTTCAGACAGGAGGTCTAAAGGGAAGTTAGGGGGAAGAGATTCCTTATGTACAGAGGAAGGACCATCAGAATATCATCAGACTCGTCCACAGAAACCGGGCAAGCCAGAAAGGGCTCACGAGACATATTCAGGGCACTAAATGAGAAGAACATGCAGCCAAGAATACTTTATCCAGCAAAACTGATATTCAGAATGGACAGAGAGATAAAAGCTTCCAAGACTGGCAAGGTTTAAAAGAGTATGTGACCACCAAGCCAGCACTACAAGACATATTAAGGGGGGTTCTATAAAAGAAGAAAGAACCCAAGAGTGACATAGAATAGAAGTTTACAGAGACAATCTATAGAAACAAGGACTTCACAAACAACATGATGTCAATAAAAACTTATCTTTCAATAATCATTCTCAACGTGAATGGCCTAAATGCTCCCATAAAATAGCACAGGGTTACAGACTAGATAAAACAACAGGACCTGTCCATATGTTGTCCACAAGAGACACATTTGGAACCTAAAGATACACCCAGACTGAGAGTGAAAGGATGGAGAACCATCTCTCATGCCAATAGTCCTCAAAAGAAAGCTGGGATAGCAATTCTCGTATCAAATAAATTGGATTTTAAGCTAAAGACTGTAGTCAGAGATACAGAAGGACACTACATCATTCTTAAAGTGTCCATCCACCAAGACAATCTAACAATTGTAAATATTTATGCCCCTAATATGGGAGCAGCCAACTACATAAGCCAACTGTTAATGTAAATAAAGAATCATATTGATATGAATACATTAATTGTAGGGGATCTTAACATGCTACTCTCAGTAACAGACAGATCATCTAGGCAGAAAATAAAAAAAGAAACAAGAGCTTTGAATGACACATTGTACCAAATGGACCTCGCAGATATATACAGAACGTCCCACCCTAAAACAACAGAATACTCATTCTTCTCAAGCGCACATGGAACTTTCTCCAGAATAGACCACATACTGGATCACAAAGCAGGGCTCAACTGATACCGAAAGATTGAGATTATTTCCTGCATATTCTCAGACCACAGTGCTTTGAAACTGGAACTCAATCACAAGAAAAAGTTTGGAAGGAATACAAACACTTGGAAGCTTAAGACCACCCTGCTCAAGAATGTTTGGATCAACCAGGAAATCAAAGAAGAACTTAAACAATTCATGGAAACCAATGAGAATGAAGACACATTGGTCCAAAACCTATGGAATATGGCAAAGGCAGTCCTAAGGGAGAAATACATAGCCATCCAAGCCTCACTCAAAAAAACTGAAAAATCCTGAGTACACCAACTCTCTTTACACCTTAAAGAACTGGAAAATCAACAACATATTAAGCCAACACCACACACAAGAAGGGAAATCATTAAGATTAGAGCAGAGATCTATGAGTTAGAAACTAGAGATACAGCAGAACACATCAACAAAACTAGAGGCTGGTTCTTTGAAAGAATTGGTAAGATCAATAAGCCACTGACCAAATTAATCCAAAAGAAAAGAGAGAGGACCCAAATTAATAAAATTATGAATGAAAGGGGAGCGATCACAACTAACACCAAAGACATAGAAACAATAATCAGAAATTATTATCAACAGTTATATGCCAATAAGTTAAGCAACTTAGAAGAAATGGATGCATTCCTGGAAACCTATAAACTTCCAAGACCGAATCAGAAGAAATTGACATCCTGAACAGACCAATATCTAGTAACGAGATTGAAGTAGTGATCAAAAACCAAGAGCCCAGAACCTGATGGATCCCCTGGGGAATTCTACCAAACATTCAAAGAAGAAATAATGCCTATTTTCTGGAAACTGTTTCAAAAAATAGAAACAGAAGGAAAACTTCCAGACTCTTTCTAGGAAGCCAGCATTACCCTGATCCCCAGACCAGGCAAAGACCCCATCAAAAAGGAGAATTTCAGACAAATATCCTTGATGAATATGGATGCCAAGATTCTCAACAAGATCCTAGCTAATAGGATCCAACAGTACATTAAAAAGATTATCCACGATGACCAGGTGGGATTTATCCCTGGGATGCAAATGTGGTTCAATATTTGCAAATCAACCAATGTGATAGAACAAACCAATAAGAGAAGAGAGAAGAACCACATGTTCCTCTCAATTGATGCAGAAAAAGCATTTGACAAAAATACAGCATCTATTCCTTATTAAAACTCTTCAAAGTATAGGGATAGAGGGAACATTCCTCAACTTCATAAAACCCATCTATGAAAAATCCACAGCAAATATCATTCTCAATGGGGAAAAGCTGACAGCCTTCCCTTTCAGATCAGGAACACAACAAGGATGCCCACTCTTGCCACTGTTGTTCAACATAGTACTAGAAGTCCTAGCAACAGCAATCAGACAACAAAAAGAATCAAAGGTATTCAAACTGGCAAAGAAGAAATCAAACTCTCTCTCTTGGCAGATGACATGATACTTTATATGGAAAACCCAAAAGACTCCACCCCCAAACTACTAGAACCCCAAACTACTAGAACTCATACAGCAATTCAGTAATGTGACAGGATACAAAATCAATGCACAGAAATCAGTTGCTTTCTTACACACTAACAATGGAAATACAGAAAGGGAAATTAGAGAATCGATCCCATTTACTACAGCACCAAGAACCATAAGATACCTGGGAATAAACCTAACCAAAGAGGTAAAGGACCTGTACTCGAGAAACTACAGAACACTCATGAAAGAAATTGGAGAAGACACAAAAAGATGGAAAAGCATTCTATGCTCATGGATTGGAAGAATAAACATTGTTAAAATGTCTATACTACCCAGAGCAATCTATACTTTCAATGACATCCCACTTAAAATTCCATCGGCATTTTTCAAAGTGCTGGAACAAACAATTCTTTTTTTTTTTTTTTTTTTTTTTTTAGCATCTGTTGAATTTATTCAGCATAACCACAGAGGTATTGACTTCATGCTGTCACACACAGACACAAACACAGATACAGCACAATATCCGTATTTAGCCAAATGCATTCCTTCCGAGGCTCATTTATAGGTCTTCATATGCCACAGCCTATCATTCAAATAATGGATATTTTCAATGCCAATTCCTTTGTTGACTTTCTCAATATCTTCTGCAGACATCTTCATGACTCCAACACACAGAGCACACTGTTTTCCTTCTGCCATGATTGCAACAATTGTATCTACTACAGCAGGGTAAAGTTTAGCTCCAGGGGAAGTTAAGCTTGGACACATGATATTTGCTCCACTGAGTACAAATTTGATGGCTCCTTTATCAACTTGCTGGTGTGGCAGGATAAAAGGATATTTGTGAAGTAACCTTAGGGTTGGATAAAAAGGCCCTTCTCTTTGTCTAAAAAATAGTAATTCTCCATTTACTGTAAGGATTTCTATATGTTCATGGCATCGCACTATTTTGACAGGCTCTTTCTTAGGCATGATTTGATTAAGCAATGGTTCAATATCTGGAAATTGTTCTATCAACTGGTTCTTAATACCCTTTATAACTGAGGTTTTCAACTGGATGCAGTTGGACACATTTTCTTTTTCATCAAATTTCTTGAACATGATCCAAGGTGAAGGGGGCGACGATAGGGAAGGGCCCGGAAAGGGAAAAGAGAATTGAATTAGCAAGCGTCCAGCAGATCCTCTGGAACAAACAATTCTAAGAGCAGAGCTTTTCCCTCTGCTCTGTAGAACCAGAAGAGACTCCAAACTGCTAAGGAAATGTTGAAAAAGAAAAACAAAACTAGGGAATCACATTGCCTGATTTCAAACTTTACTATAAAACTGTGATCACCAAGACAGCATGGTACTGGCACAAAAATAGACACATAGACCACTGGAATGGAATAGAGAGCCCACATGTGGACCACAACTTATGGTCAACTAATCTTCAACAAAGCAGGAAAAAATATCCAGTGGGAAGAAGACAGTCTCTTCAATAAATGGTGCTGGGAAAATTGGACAGCTATGTATAGAACAATGAAACTTGACCATTCTCTTACACCATACACAAAGATAAACTTGAAATGGATAAAAGACTTCAACCTAAGGCAGGAATGTATCAAAATCCTAGAGGAGAACATAGGCAGTAACTTCTTTGACATTGGCCACAGCAGCTTCTTTCAAGACATGTCTCCAAAGGTAAAGGAAACAAAAGTGAAAATGAACCTTTGGGACTTCATAAAGATCAAAAGTTTCTGCACAGCAAAGCAAACAGTCAACAATACAAAGAGGCAACCCACGGAATGGGAGAAGATACTCACAAATAACACTACAGACTAAGGGCTGATATCCAAGATCTATAAAGAACTCCTCAAACTCATCACACACAAAACAGATAATCAGGTCAAAAAATGGACAGAAGACATGAACAGACACTTCTCCAAAGAAGACATACAAATGGCTAACAGACACATGAAAAAAATGTTCATCATCACTAGCCATCAGGGAGATTCAAATCAAAACCACATCGAGAAACCACCTTACACCAGTTAGAATGGACTAAATCAACAAGACAGTAAACAACATGTGTTGGAGAGGATGTGGAGAAAGGGGAACCCTCTTACACTGTTGGTGGGAATTCAAGTTGGTGCAGCCACTTTGAAAAAAACAGTGTGGAAATTCCTTAAGAAATTAAAAATAGAGCTACCCTATGACCCTGAATTGCACTACTGGGTATTTACCCCAAAGATACAGATGTAGTGAAAAGAAGCACCACATGTACCCCAATGTTCATAGCAGCAATGGCCACAATCGCCAAACTATGGAAAGAGCCAAGATGCCCTTCAACAGACGAATGGATAAAGAAGATATGGTCCATATATACAATGGAGTATTATGCCTCCATCAGATAGGATGAATACCCAACTTTTGTATCAACATGGATGGGATTGGGGGAGATTATGTTGAGTGACATAAGTCAAGCAGAGAAAGTCAATTATCATATGGTTTCACTTACTTGTGGAGCATAAGGAATAACATGGAGGACATTAGGAGAAGGAAAGGAAAAGTGAATTGGGGGAAATCAGAGAGAGAGATGAACCATGATAGACTGTGGACTCTGAGAAACAAACTGAGGGTTTTGGAGGGGAGGAAGGGTGGGGGTTAGGTGAATCTGGTGGTGGGTATTATGGAGGGTGTGTATTGCATGGAGCACTGGGTGTGGTGTATAAACAATGAATCTTGGAACACTGAAAAAAATAAAACAGAATTAAAAAAAGAAGAAGAAAGAAATTCCTTCTAATCCATGCTGGGCTGGCTCCTGATGTGGCCACCTGCAGTGGCCTTGTTCTCATCTTGTTTCCTTTAATTATGTATTGAGCTGACAGTAGACTTGCCGCTGAATATGACACAAAGGCTTGGCCTTCCTCTGCAGTTGAGCCAGTTCTTAGGGCAGCAAACCATCACCAAACAAGATTTCGACCTCAAAGGTGTGCATCCAGCCATGTGCCAGAGGCATCTACTCCTGTGGAAGGATATGTTCTCTGTCTCTAAAGGGGTGAAGTGGATTGTGGAGTTGGCTCTTCACTGACTAGAGAGAGTAGATTGTGAACATCTCCTCCCAACTCTGTTCAATGATGTCCCAAGTATAGCTTGATACCAACCATGGTGTGGATATTCCCACTGCAGAGACTGGCAAACACTGTAGGTGAAGGCTTTTATCTTGGAAATCCATTAAGGACTGGGCCTCTCCCCAAAGGACAAGAGGGCACTCATTAGATACTGCCATCTGTCCTGCTGTGACAAAGATAAGGTGGTAACACCATGTGTAATATCAAATTAGTCTACAAACCTATTGAGATTACAGGGAGCCCATAAGTATACCCCTTTTCGCCAACCCAGTTCTGAACCATATGTAGGTTGGCGAATGTGGTTTAGGTGCAGTGGAATGAGATTTCTAATACAGTACTCCAGAATCGGGCAGACGTACCCACCTGTCACAAGCCACCAGTCTCCCATATGGAACTTTCCTTCTGAAGAACTTATAACTGAGAATCAGAATAAAATCCTTGCTTTCTGACTCCCTAGAGTAAGGATAGAGGGAAGGTCTGAGCTCCCTTTACCTGGTTTCCCTCCCGAAGTCACCAGTAAGAGTAGACCCTCTTCTCTGGGGACGAATCAAGGAAGCTGAAGATAGACAGTAGAAGCATTTATTGCACTGAGCGCCCACCACATGGAGGGAGATATCAGATTAGGGAATAACCACTGCTCCATGAAAACCTAGAGATAACCTAGTGGGGAAGTGATGAGAAATGTATACTGGATTCTTTTCTTTCCAGGCTCATCATTTATTGTACAAACTGAGTATCATGGTGAGTTGACATTAGCTTGTCCAGGCATGGGAACTTAACAGATGAGGTACAGACTGTTTAGAGTTCATATGTGGCTTTCGCAGCTGGAGAGTTTTTAGACATTAACTAGAAGTATCAAACTATCAAAGCAATGCCTCTGCATGTGGCCAGTTCACAATTCATTCTCCCTGTGGGAGTGTAAGTGTTGAAATATTTTTTTTTAATACCAGAAAAATGGAATTGGGCATTCATTTCTGGACCTGCCATGATTTCAGTCTTGCAAAAGCAGATTCTGCAGCCTATACACAACATACATAGCTACCCCTTGGCTCAGCCAGAAAAAGCCCTATAGACTGGATTCTGTGAGTGTCAGTCTGGACACACTCTGCCTCCCCAGTATTGATGTTTTCAAAAGTATCAGATTGTCCTGCATCTTGAGGAATAGATAATGGTGTTCTTATCACATATAAACACACACACACACACTTCTGACTATGACATTGCAGATGGAGTCTACAATAGCAACTGTGATCTATATAAGCTTTTCATATTACAGGTCTTCTCCAACCCCGAGACATTCTGAGTGATCTGGCCACAGGTGAGAAATTCTTATGGGACCTATCTGAGAGTAAGCATTGCTTTTCCCTCGCTCTGTTGGGCATTTTCCCAGAGGCCTATGGGATACCCAGCCTTTACCCTGATACCACTGGCCAGCCTTACAATGGCTGGTCAGCAGACTACCTGAGGGCTGGCATTCTGTAGTGTGTCTTTACAAAATTTTCTTTAGTGCATATTCCCCTAGTTCTTGTTTAGCAAATGTGAAAATATTCTGCCCTTATCAGTCTGCTGGTATCTTACCTGCTAAAGCAGCGTAGGCCAGAGAAGCTGGTTTCCAGACCCAGCTCTTAGCTCTAGTTCCATTATAAAGATACTGCCCCAGAACTGCATATCCCCTTGAAACAACAAAAGGGATATAACTGTTTCCATAGACCCTTAGTTTAGTGTGAAAACAACACCTAGTTAATGGTATGCTTTTATATACCCAACCTCTTAGTGCTTTATTATTCAGAATATTTATGACATGGCAAAAAAAATGATAAAAATGACCAAAAAATGGTAATTTGCTGTTTGGGACATTAATTTGAATCCTCTGGAATTTCTCTTATACAAATTGGGTCCTGGTATCAGCCTCCTTCCACTGACCTCACAAATCTCCTTCTGTCACAAAATGATCTAAAATATCTTCTGGGTCTAATTATATTTGAATTGTCATTTCTAAAGCTTTGGAGTTTAATTAAAACTGAAATGGGACTGCACTTTATATTTTATTAGTTGAATCCTTTCTAATTGATTGCATTAGATTGTTAATACCTCCAGAAGATTTTCTTATTTTATTGAACATAACCCTGGACTTTATGGTGAAAAACAGTATTTGTCTATTTTTCTATTCAGTAACTTGTTTATTGAATGCCCACCACGTACCAGGCTCTGTGCTGGGCACACCCAAGGAGTGGTATGAAGAGAAAGACATGCTGGCCAATGATTATTATGTAAAGAACATCACAATGGTGGGCTCCTAGAAACAGTGGAAGGATGGGAGAGATGTTGAAGACTGTCTGGGTGAGTCGTGAAACATGTGAGTTAAACTTGAAGAGTAAAGTAGGGTTTTCAAGAAGACACTAATGGGAAGAGCCTTCCACACAGAGCGTAAGGCTTAGAGAACATGGAACTAAGAGAAGTAAGAGAAATTCAGTATCTTTGGAGGGCCAAGGGAAAAGGAAGCAGGGGGTGAGGCCCCCAGTATGCCAGATACTGTTCCAACTGCCTTATGTTGATTATCTTGCCTAATTCTAGCAACACTATGGAGGTGGTGTTCTTAGCACCATTTAATAGAGGAGGAAACTGAACCTTAGAGGGGTTACATAACTTGCTCAAGATTACTGGCCTTGTGGATATTAGAACTGAGATTTGACCCCCATGTGGAAGTGGCATTACTATTTACTATACAAAACTGCCTCCCCTATGTTTATCTTCATGCCTCAGCTCATAGGCAAACTTGGTTTTTCATCTGATCAAGTAGCTGCCAAAGTCCCTGTTTTTCATGAAGATACTTTTTCCACAAGGTCAGCAAAGATAGCTGGTGTGCGGAATGCAGCCATTTTACTGCATTGTCACTCCTCGACTGAAAGAAAGACAGATCAAACCCCATTCTTCCAAACATGACAATTTTTCTTTGGCAAAGGAACTTCAAACTCAAATCAGAGGCTCAATAATTATCGGCTAATCAAATTGTAGCACTACCAAAACCCAGGCATACTCTTAGAGTAGCTTCCACAGGGTTTGAGCTGGCAAGGGCGTTCCGGAGAGAGTTGTTTGAAACTAGAGGAATGAGTGTGTTTATTAAAAAACATGAGAAAAACGGGTGTTAGGGCGTTCACCAATCTGCTTCCTGGGAGTCTCCCTTCTCCTGGTACCTGAGCCTGAGCATGAAGGGCCAGTGTGGATTGATGGAAATGCCAGTGAATCTGCAGCATTAAATCTTAACTTTGGTCACTTACGATCCTGTGGAGGCACCTGGGTGGCTCAGTTGGTTAAGTGACTGCCTTCAGCTAGGTCATCCCGCATAGGGTGCCCTGCTCAGTGGGGAGCCTGTTTCTTCCTCTCCCCTCTGCCTGTTGCTCCCCCTGCCTGTGTGCATGTGTGCTCTCTCTCTCTCAAATAAATAAATAAATAATAATAATAATAAAATCTTTAAAAAAAGGATCCTGTGGGAGCTTAGGCAAAAAACATTCTTGTTTTGGTTTCCTTGCCCGCTTAGAAGAGGGGTTAAAAGTGCAGCTTCTGGGGCCAGACTTCCAGAACTGAAATGTTCACTCTGCCTTCCCCCAACCGTGTGTGCTTAGGCAAGACCCACGACTGTGCATCGGTTTTCACAGCTGTATTTCAGGGATAGAAATAGTACCAACTTTGTGGTTTGTTGGGAGAGTAACTGAGACATGCACGGGAGATCTCAGAATGGTGTTGACAGAGAAAACACTGTCCCTGTTAGCTTTCATTACTACTCTTTTCTTCTAGTTCTGGGTTTCCTGCTCCATTCAAGGCAAAGCTACCCTTTCTGGAGAAAATCATTCTTCTTTCTCTTGAATTTTTTTTTTCTACTTAAGGAAGGCCAATTTAAACTTCTATGTGTTCTAGTACACTTGCTGGCATTGCATTGACCTCTGGTCTGGGCATGGCATGTCTGGCACTTTGCTGCAACTCAAGACCAATGACTCCTCAAGACCAATGACTCCATTTTGTTCCAGACAAACAATGGTGACCTTATCTCTTGTTTCCTCTGTGGTGAGAATTATTGTCTCTTTGCCATAACCAAACATTATGATCTTTGTAGAATGGAAAAACAATTGTCGTTGAACTTATTTGTTTCTTTCAATGAGGAGAAACCCATTTCAAGTTGGCAAATTCTACTGGAAATAAATCTTATCGCTATAGAAACCATGCACAATTACCCCTGGAAAGTGGTTGCTATATGTGTTCTTTAAAAGTACATGAGTGAAGCATTATGTTTTAGCCCATATTCAACTTTCAATTCTGTTTCCATAGTGTTAGACGAGAGCCAGTCTGCTGACTGCTTCTCTTGTTCAGTCTTTTAGGATTCCTTGCTATCTTTGGGATGTGAACTTATATGGTGAAGACCACAAAAATCTTGAGATTAGTTCTGGCTATGCTACTTCTGTCCATGTGCCCTGCGGCAGGTTTTCCAATCTTTCTGATCCAATAAAATTAGATATTCTCTAGACTATACAAATAAAGATAAGGTCTCGTAAGATTTGCACGAAGATCAAATAAAACGGTATCTGCAGAGGTACTTAATATGCTCTAAAATGTTATATAAGGGTAAAATAGTTTCTCTTTCAGAACATTTATCCACTGTGTAAATTACATACCCCAAGTAATGTTTGGAGTTCCTGTGTCTTCCTTAGCATTCAGTTATAAGGGGTTGAAGGCATTTGAATGCATACAGGATGAATCCAGACCTACTGGGATAAATATCCAGCAACGCTCTTCCCTATCTATTTAATTGTGGTCAGGTGACATAACCTCTCTAAGCTTCACTGTCTTCATCTTTAAAATGAAAAAATAGAATGTATATCCAGTGTTGTGGAATTGATTAGAAAAAAATCATGTGTCAGACACAGTTCTTGACAGGTAGTGAGAACTTAAAAATGGTACTAGAGCTAGAAATAATGATATTGTACCTGAGCTGACATCATTAAGCAAACTGCAAACTACTCAGCACACACACACACACAAATTTGGAACTTGTTCTGCCAAAGAGAATACCATTTTTCAGCACCTTCAAATTCTTATCCAGTCTTGAAGAACTTTGTTCAGAGATAACTACTCATGGGTTCTGCCACAAACATTTACTGAGCATGTACTACACGCATGGATCAGCAAGGTGAAAAGCCTATTTTCTTTCCTTCATTTCCTTTCCTCCTTCTGCCCTCCCCTTCTCTTCCTTTTCCCTCCTCGTTTTTCTCTGCTCCCTTCCTTCTCTTCTTTTCTGCCCCTGATTTTAAGAACAATGGAATGCCAGTGGAAGATCAAATTATTCATTTAGAACTGGGAAATCTCTCAGACTGTTATGCCAGTCTCATTTGGAATTGATAGCACTGAGGTAACAACACAGATCTCTGGATGGATGCTGGGTCTGAATCTTACCTTGAACTTCTTTATGAGAAGCAGTTGAGCATTTCTTAATCTTTCTTTAAGGAGAAATATCTTGCAGGGCGAGATGATACAGTAGAATCAATATTGCCCTCCAGAAAGGATATGTGGAGGCTATTTTGAATAATGTTCTTCTTCATAAAGAAATTGGATGAGAATAAATTTTTCCCTGAATAGAGTGAATGCAGAATCCTAGGAACTCTGATAGAATATACTATCTGCTGAGTGAATAAATTGACCAGTGAGGAAAAAGGAGGAAGGGTTTGTGGAAGTAAAAGATGGAGAATGAGAAGGAAAGATTACTTGAGGTTCCTAATTATCCTGCAGCTGCTTATCTTTTCTTCCTTGAATCACAGCTTCTAGCTTTCTTCCCAACACAAGCTTCCTGCACTGCACCTGCTGAGTCAGAATAACACACACACACACACACACACACACACACACACACATCCCAGCTCCTATTCCTCTATGCCTGGGAGCCCCACCACTGTACCTTGAACCAGGACTCAGTAGACCTGAATCCCTATACACATCAT